TGTGCCATAATATGGACTAGAATATATGTATAAAGGATAATTTTTTAATTTCTAACTCTCGATTTAACGGTGTTTAAACACTTAATTTGAAATAAGAGACTTAAAATTAGGGAAATGAAAGAAATTACATCTTTCAGTGAATATGCTGCATAGGTTTTTAGACATTTTTCTTTTAAATATTAATTTCAAGTTTATTTTGTGAAAATGATCTTACAGAGGCATCTGGTGGAGTAACAGTAGTATATATATTGAATTCATCATCATACTGCGTCGGTAATAGTAGATGTTGATGATATCGACACTTGGTGCCATATATCAATTGTAGAAGTACAGAAAATTGAATAGAAACTTCGGATAAGGGTCAATGTTGTCTGTATTTTAATAACTATTATTCTGTATTTTAAATCTGTATTTTAAACATAACGCCCTTATTCGAAATATCTATTCGATTGTATAAATAAATAGATGAATGAGACTATTCAGAAAGTAGGAGAATACATTGTTACTCAAAGTGATTGGCTTATCGATCAGAAGTTCAGGACTAGATACAGCGCCCTCTTCTTAAGGATAACAATCGCTTACAGAGAACTATTTTCGCTTACAGAAAATAGTACAAAAATGCAAAAAATCATGTTTAAACAATGCATTTTCTATACTTCTGTTATCGTAAATAATAGTATAAAATAAAAAGTTGAGATTCGGAAATTGGTTGATCATCTTTACCAATAAACTGAAAATCAGATGCTATGCAGTATTTTACAGAGCATACAATTTATATATTATAATTAATAGAAATTTAATGAAATAGTATTACAAATATCTATGACACACAATATAAATCTTTATAATCTATTGAAAAACAATTTTCTCACAGTATTGTCTGTTGTAATCACGAAATTAACTAAAAAATGTTTTATAAAAAGTTAATTAAATTCTTAAAAAATGGCACGTTCAGTTTTTTAATCTGTACTATACCAGTCAATTTACTTCCGTTTAAAAGTGAAATACTTGAGTTTCTTTCCGAATTATCTATCTTATCAGTGTACAAATTTATGTCTACCAGAAATTTGAGGAATACTTTTTAAAAAGAAAAGGGATTCTGTCAATATTGACCTTACATTGCAATACAATTTTATTCGTGCACGAATTTATAAAACTGAACAGTATACTTAATTAAATTTTTCATCTTGCCTATAATCTATACATTCATAGTTTTTCTTCGATGCATTGTATGTCTTCTGTCAGAAAGTCTTGTATATCTTGGCGGCATTGTGTTAGAACTGTAAAACGTTTGTAATTGTAACAACACTTCCTTAAGTACCGCCGCAAGCTCCGTGTCGTTATCATTATTCTTGTTCTCGTCGCTCGTTATCAAACTAAAAAAAGTACACACTTTCTTAGAGTTTGTAATTAAAGCGGAATCATTAATTAATGGGCAAAGTGTTCCCGGTTCATCGATACTGGACGAAAGTTCTCCATCGGACATGCGATAACTTGCTTACCATTTATTATTGCGGGAGTTTTTGAAAGCCAACAAGCTTAATGCCTCTCTTTGGTACGCCGAAATGTTTGCCGCTAATTCGCCGGAATTATGTTTGTGATAATGGAAATGAAATGTGTTCGGAATGTTGCGTCTCAAGTTGAGGAACAATTGTACCCGGGCAGGCAAGCAACTGCTGCGAAAGATTGGATGTGATATCAACCTCTCCAAATGGCTCACGAACTCGGCTTGCTTCAGCAATTTATCAATGTGACCCTGCAGTGGAAATCATTACATATTACATCAGTGCATATGAATCGGCAATGTGCATACTTTCGTACGATAGTTTTTCACTTTGAATGATGCTTCAAGAATATGTAGTTAAAAGAAAATTTCAAAATTCTAAGAATTACCAAAGTTACAGGCCTTTAAATGGCAGATGCAGCATGGGTTCTTTTCACCACGTAAAACTTTGAACGCGTTTTTCTGGAAACATCATTTCTCGAACTGGTGGGAGAAATATCTTGAAATGTAATCGATCAATACAAGCGAGATTTTCTTTTTAATTAAAGAGTGTACTTTTCCGCTGACAGTGAACCTATTTAGGCTAATTTTAAGGAATGTGGAATTGTGGAAAATTAACAACAACAAAAAAGTGATGTTTGACTCTAAAATGCCAGAAAATAATAAAACAAAGGATTGCCTCAAAAATATCATGCAGTTTAAGAATACATTTCATTGCTCTGTTTCAGAATTGCAGACTAGGAGCTAAACGACCCAGTGTCTGAAGAGAATTTTTCTTACTGGTTAAAAAAGAAAGAAATTATATAAGTTGTTGTATCTTGTGTTAAAAGATACATAATAAAATGCCGAAAACTCCAGATTATCATCTTATTTACTTTTGTTGTAAAAAAATCGAAATATGACTTTCTTTTTAACCTCCTAGACCGGAACCTCCCCCTAATAAACCTATTTTGACATAAACGATGGATATAATAGCTTGAACTTGAGGCAGAGAGTTCGTGTCTCATACTTGGTTCTCGAGTTCCTGGATATCATTGACCGCTAGACCGATCATCAGATTCATAAGAGTGATGCTAACAAGCATGATGAAAGCAAGGAACACGACCTTGCTGGTGAATAGTAGTGGAGAACTGTCCCCCTTCTTGTTCGGGAACAGATCCTCGTACTCGTACTCGCCCGTCATCATTACCAAGGTCTTCACGAAGGCTAGCCAGGCATTGCTGAACTGGTCGTTCTGGTGAAACACAACGGTGAAGCTCAACGCGAATCCGACAATCAGAAAGATGAACGCTACGAGAACCTGAAAAGGAAGTAAAAAGCCCTGGATGCACGTTGTCATAATCGCGAGGGTGGTGGGCTCGCGTGTTGGAGTAGGCAAGTGGGTCCTGATGGGAGCCGTATCGCCGAGGAGACATTTAGAACGCTGGTCCTCCCCAGCTTTTCATTTCTAACGATATTCGTCGAAGGGATGAGCCTCTTCCCTCTTGCCTTTCGCCGAGACTAAATGCGGATCTTCCGTCGCACAGACGGAATTAAAACCCACCCTCGGTATTAAATCAGGGTTAACGTTGCCCCTGTTAAGGCTCGCCGTGAAAACGTTTTACCGGCTAAAATGTGTCTGGTTTTTATTCACGGCGCGTGTTCCACCGTGCCTATCGTCACGAGGGAAAATTGGGAGTTCTTGTGACGTCGTTACACTCGTTAATTTTCGTCTGGTATACCCCCATGCGTCGATCGTTTCTCGCGCTCACCTTGAAAAAATTCTTGAGCACCGTGGAAAACATGAGTGCGTAATATCCGCACGTCGGTAGACGGCCGATTATCAGCATCATTTGTATCCAGCTAAGTAAGATTGCCACGCTAAGAGAATGCAGCATCCACTCTGAGTGCGCAGTATGCACGGGGACGGTTGATGATTTTTCCACTGGCGGATTTTCTGTCACGGGAACGCCATGCAACGAAATCACCAGGGTTATAATCGCGCACGCATATGACATCCACATCTCGAACTGTCTCAGATAATATCTGCAACGGTAATCAATCTTTCCTTACTAATTCTGTTTTATGAACGTCGCTAACAATTGAGGGAATGTTAGGAATTATCTTACTTTGGCACCATCAACGCCTGCGCCAGGTTGTGAAGGAGAAGGGCTGACGAGCAGAAAGTTAAAATCACCCTCAAAGGAGTATAAGGCATCTCGTATTGCAATAACATTATCGTGTAACCAGTAAGCGAGAACACATGGATCGCGTGAACGAGGATAAGGGTAAAAAAGAACATTCGAAGCTTTGACCATTTTAGGCAGAGGAATGTTTCGAGCAATGGGTGTTGCAGAATCGTCAGTTGTTCAACGTTGGATGCCGCAGCGATGAGGGACATGACAACCGTCATTTGTTTCTCAACTTCCGGTGTTAGGACATTGAAATTAACGATGATCTGCACCAGAAAGATGTAATCAAACGAAAAAAAAAACAGAAAATAGTATCGACATTACTGACCACTGTAAGTGAAATATGTAGGGTGTTTCGGATCTGGTAATTCAAGCTGATAGGAGGTGAACTGTATGTGCAAAAACGCATACAAAAATAAGTAGTAAAAAGAGAATGACATTTGTTCGTTTGACACCTCGTGTTCAAGAAAATCAAGTTTAAATATTTGGCGATTACACCTGCTGTTAACACAATTCGGTCCGGGCTGGTATATTTTAAGGTTGTCGCATCACTTTACAAAAATGGATATAACTTATAAAATATCAGACAATTAAATTAAATTATATGATATGTTGCCTTATTGAATATATGCATCTGTGATAATGCATGTGTTATAAGATATATGCATCTGTGATGAGCTACATTTACAATGTTTCTAGATGTAAATACTGTCCGTTGCTCAGAAGGAGTTCGCTGAAAGAAGTGTAGGACCCACCCCACCAACCTAATCATTCTAACGCCTCGCAGAAGTAAGGTAACCGCGTTTTCCTTATTGACAGATTATTGGCTTTTCTATTAGCACGTACATGGAATTTCCACGACTTCTGACTCCCGTAAGCGTCTCGCTCCCCCGTGGCGCCATTTTCGCCACATCAGACGCGTGCGCCTGTGCTCTATATGGATGTGTGTCTTTCATTTACGCGACCACGGGTGAGTAAGGCGCACGAAGGGAGTCAGGGGGCGTAGAGACAAAATTAAGCAGACGCAACAAATGCAAGATGCAAGAGCGTCGACTTATTCCTAAAGCATCATCTTCAGGTTCTTCCGATGAACACATAATTATTTGTAATTACTGATTACTAATTAGCATCTTGATTAACTTTTCATCGGATTATAGCACTGTACACATATTTTTTATATTTATGTACGTATAAACGTATAACGTTGAGAACCTGAAGCTAATATCGGGAAACGAGAAAATGAAACATTACGCATAAACTAAACGACGTAAGAAGCAAGGGGAATTGGTCGCTCGCTTCACCTAACCACTTCCAACTTTTTTTAGACTTTTTATTATTATTGTTAGTTAGGCGCTAAACAAGAGACGTGAATAGGTGGAGCGGGAGATCGATTTCCCTTGCCCCTCTCGTCGATTAGCTTGTAGGTCTTCTCGTTTACGAATAGAAGTGGTATCGTGAGGTCATAGAAGAATGGAGACTATACGGGGATGCAGGTCAGGCGGAACGAGTGAAAATACCCTCTTGCCCCCCTCTGCTGAAATGACGGACTTCTTCTGAGCAAGATACAGTAGTTCTACTTTATTTACTGCAGTCAATCAAGAAAATAACCATTTTTAGTCATCCGGCATTTTACAATTAGTCAAGAAAATGACTATTTTTAGTCATCCGGACGGTAATGTGTTAACACATGAACTATCGAACGAGTCAAAATGATCGATTCCTAAGTATTTCTTTTACGATTGAATACGAACGAAAATGTTACTCTTTCTTCACGACTTATTTTTGCATGTAGATCCATTCCCCTTTCTTTGGCACTACCAGTTCTGAAACGTCCCGTGCATGTAAACTTTGTTTATATGTATATTTTGCAATTACTCCTAAATTTTCACCCGTCGATTTGTTCACCATCTGCACTCCCGAATCCAGGATGTCATTGAGAAATATTTCTGGTCTCCTTATGTGCGCGAATATGACGTCCACAACTGCTTCTCCGTAATCTGTTCTTGCGGCCAAATTGCCCCCATGATTTATTAAAGCTTTGGCGCATTTATCGTGACCTTCGCATGCAGCCAAATAAAGAGCTGTCTGTTTCATCTGATTACGGGCGAAATAAAAAAAGTGAACGGAACACAAAGTCAGTTTCAAATGGACTTGCCTCCCAGCGTTAAATATATACGTACGTGATTAGTAATATCGACTTGGGACGTGTACATTTTTTTCAGGATATTTAACAGCACGCCGTAGCTACCAACTGAGGCAGCTGTGTGCAAGGGAGTGTTCCCATATCTTATGCATTGATGATAAGGCGATGCACCACCGTCCAACAATATTTGCGTTGCCTCCGCATTTCCTAATTCTGCTGCGCGGTGCAACACTGTGGTACCTATGCCAAAACTTTCATTACTCTATGTTTCAAGGTTTTGTTAACCCCTTGCTGTACCATTTTCTTTACAGTCATAATGACTAGAAGTTTCTTGATTACAATAATTTCTCAGAAGGAGAAGGAAATTTATATTTATTGTGTGCCTACATTTCTTTAAATGTTTAAATATCGTGGTGAAAAGAACAGAATTTTAGACGAACTTGAATGAACAGAATAACATTCGTACTTGACAGGTTGCTACTAGAAATCTTTATTAAGAGTTAGACTCGTTAAAGAGTACGGCAAGGGGGGTTAAGGAAGATTAAAGTTAAAGTAATTAAGGGCGAAAGTAACGAAACGAAAGTAATCTATTAAGTTGTGCTTCACTCAATGGACCAATCAATAACGTGGTTGGGGATGCGAAAAATGGTACTAAGCATCGTGATTTATACGTTTGTTATAACTATTATCTGTAATCGGATAGATATGGTATAACTTCTTAGACTTTGGTTGACATTTTGCTTACTTAACTTCTCTCCATTTACAGTTACTATCTATTTTAGTAAATATTTGAATCCAAAGAAAATATTGTGTTACTATGTTCCCCATGTTGTGGTGCATGGAACGATTGCAACGCTATGTCGGGTTCTCATTGTTTATTCGTATAAATATGTCTGTTGTAAACGTAATAGTTTTTGCGTAATTGTATAGTGCAAAATGAATTGACTACTCTCGATTTTAGCTTCCCGTATTATTTGAATTGTAGTTTCCACCTGTATCTTTGCGAAAGACGTCCGTTGAAGCATTCGCTGCCACGAGAGACTTGACAATATCGACGTACTTGGACATCTCCTTGGGATTCTTTCGAATCTCATCATTGGAGCCTGCCAAGAGTAACGGAGTGAATCCACGTTCGTCTTTAGCGTTCACGTCAGCGTTAGCTTCCACCAAAATTTTCACCACGTCCGAATGATTGTGCTGCACCGCTTGGTGCAAGGCCGTTCTTTCTAAACACTCGGGGGACGGTAACTAGAAAAGCACGTTCGATAGATGAACATTCGGTAGATGAATACGATAATTTGAAATGATTCTCAAGACTAACGTTATGGCCTATGGGGCATTGAGCCAAGAACAAATCACTGAAATTCCTGTAGCACCTCTCGACACGAATTTTATTTTCCGTGTATGCTCCTTGTTTCAACAACCAATTCACCATGTCACTGTCTCCACGATTGGCAGCGTAGAACAATGCGCATCTTCCGATCGCATCCGTCGCATTAATATCAGCGCCATGATTGTGGAATAATTCAAGTAATTCCATTCTACCTCGCCAAGCTGCTATGTGAACCACGTTGATGTGCAGTCGCCCAATTTGGTGCAGAAGTCTTTTGTCAAATTTGGTAGCGAGAATATTGTTCACTGATTCTATGTTATCATCCACCATGTCGGTTATTAGTTTATGAAGGTCTTCGTCCTGAATATCCATTTTTGTGCTTTAAATTCGCGTGAACAATGTGCGACCTACTGCTCTAGACGTTTACGTTCAGTCGTTTAGTTTTACTAACTGAAATGATATCGNGTACTTGACAGGTTGCTACTAGAAATCTTTATTAAGAGTTAGACTCGTTAAAGAGTACGGCAAGGGGGGTTAAGGAAGATTAAAGTTAAAGTAATTAAGGGCGAAAGTAACGAAACGAAAGTAATCTATTAAGTTGTGCTTCACTCAATGGACCAATCAATAACGTGGTTGGGGATGCGAAAAATGGTACTAAGCATCGTGATTTATACGTTTGTTATAACTATTATCTGTAATCGGATAGATATGGTATAACTTCTTAGACTTTGGTTGACATTTTGCTTACTTAACTTCTCTCCATTTACAGTTACTATCTATTTTAGTAAATATTTGAATCCAAAGAAAATATTGTGTTACTATGTTCCCCATGTTGTGGTGCATGGAACGATTGCAACGCTATGTCGGGTTCTCATTGTTTATTCGTATAAATATGTCTGTTGTAAACGTAATAGTTTTTGCGTAATTGTATAGTGCAAAATGAATTGACTACTCTCGATTTTAGCTTCCCGTATTATTTGAATTGTAGTTTCCACCTGTATCTTTGCGAAAGACGTCCGTTGAAGCATTCGCTGCCACGAGAGACTTGACAATATCGACGTACTTGGACATCTCCTTGGGATTCTTTCGAATCTCATCATTGGAGCCTGCCAAGAGTAACGGAGTGAATCCACGTTCGTCTTTAGCGTTCACGTCAGCGTTAGCTTCCACCAAAATTTTCACCACGTCCGAATGATTGTGCTGCACCGCTTGGTGCAAGGCCGTTCTTTCTAAACACTCGGGGGACGGTAACTAGAAAAGCACGTTCGATAGATGAACATTCGGTAGATGAATACGATAATTTGAAATGATTCTCAAGACTAACGTTATGGCCTATGGGGCATTGAGCCAAGAACAAATCACTGAAATTCCTGTAGCACCTCTCGACACGAATTTTATTTTCCGTGTATGCTCCTTGTTTCAACAACCAATTCACCATGTCACTGTCTCCACGATTGGCAGCGTAGAACAATGCGCATCTTCCGATCGCATCCGTCGCATTAATATCAGCGCCATGATTGTGGAATAATTCAAGTAATTCCATTCTACCTCGCCAAGCTGCTATGTGAACCACGTTGATGTGCAGTCGCCCAATTTGGTGCAGAAGTCTTTTGTCAAATTTGGTAGCGAGAATATTGTTCACTGATTCTATGTTATCATCCACCATGTCGGTTATTAGTTTATGAAGGTCTTCGTCCTGAATATCCATTTTTGTGCTTTAAATTCGCGTGAACAATGTGCGACCTACTGCTCTAGACGTTTACGTTCAGTCGTTTAGTTTTACTAACTGAAATGATATCGTTGAATTTTTAGTTAGACATGACAGGATGTGGTAACCGAAGACTGTGATTGTACTCTATACCAAGTCTTGCGTCAACCTAATTGTAAGTCAACAGTTCTTTTATCAGTTCCTTATTATTTGGGCCATGCGATTAGACAAACATAATACACAATTTTATTTTGTCTTGAATAAATGCAATAGTATTGTTGTTGAGTTGAACAAATAGATTAACATTTGAATTGATGAATTAACCAAAAACTACTACTTTTACTGTATTATATTAATAAATAAAGATGTTTAAACTCATACTTGATAAATGAATTCCTTATTGAGAAATATTTCAACTTTGTTATTATATTATCTCTTTAGTTGCAATAATATCCGCGATATTTAACGAAATATGGTCTCACACAAAAATTAGATAGAAGAACATGCTTTTAATGTTTTTGTGAGAATTACTTCCTCCCAATACAGTAAATTCTCTCCAATTGTCCCTCAGATTGTATACAAAAGTGGTCAATTTTTCGCGGCTCGTTTTTATAGCCGCCCATTGTCAAAATAAAATCGAGCCGCGAGGCTCGAATAATCGTATCTCCTCTTCCCGAATTATCCATTTTTGTTTAGAAGCTGAGGGACGATTGAGGAGAATTTACTGTATTTCCTCATGTTTCGTGGATATCTCTTTAGGTCCTCTGTTCACTAGTACAAAATTTGTTCCAAGTTCTATGGTAATTTTTGGTTGTACCTCACTATCCTCATTTGCATAAAAGATTGATATAAATAGTATATTGTACTTTATCCTTTTATGTTTAGCGCATTCTCCGTTATTTCTAGATCGCATTACAGATGCTACTGCTCCGTTACTTACGAATGCAACGGCAATACATCGTGCTGAATACTCATGAACAAACCGGCGCTTGAGTATGCACATTCGATGTTGAATCTGTCAACAATGGCTAACGGTTCGTCTAGGACGTCGGCTGGAACTGATTCGTTAGCTCTCATTGTCATTACACGACCGTTACTAGCGCATGCAAGTAACGAACGTAGAGAGAAACATGCTTAAGAGGGAAACCTGTTCCAGAGCGTTAAAAACAATGCGATTTTTGTGATCTTTCGTTTAATTTTCAATATATTTCATCTTATATTCAAGAAATAAGATAAAAATATGTTTATCAAGGTAACTTAAATCTCTCCATGATTTTTTTTCACACTTCTAACGGTCGAAAAAATGTTACGAATATATGCTAGTCAGTTTTCGATCGATTGTAAAGTACAATTTTCAGAATTTCTGAAGACATGTTTCTTCAATGAAAAGACTAATTCAATTCCGCTTCTTTAAATAGCAACTTGTCCTTGAATTGGGAAACGTTAGGAGTCTAGTAATCTAGACTCCCAAACGTCTGAAAAAGAATTCAAGTCTTTTGGTTGAATTAAAAAAGAATAATTTTTATCAATTAAAATTATTTTTAATCATTTTGGATGCCACCTGAAACTTCAAAACCGTAATGTTTACATGTTATTGATTAACTTGGCGCTGATGATGTGCAAAATGAAACGAAAATGGTAAGGCGGAGTTCTACAAACCCATCCAAATCTATTATAAAAATCCGCAGCTTTATAATCAATATTAGATTACGTACTGTTTAAACTATTTACTATCAACATTGAGGCACAACTTACTGCCATACCTTGTCAAAAAGTTATAGTCTATTTAAAATCTTTGGGGTCCGTGACATCTCTCGCATTACTCTCACCGGGTTCAATGCGAAAAAGCTATGACTTAAAGTTGGTGGATCATGCTCTCCCATCGATATTGACTTGAAGTTCAGGTGTGCTCATACACAGGTGACCGATTCGGTATACCAGTTCTCGTACTCGCGGGCGCACACACATGTCCAGCCGGGCTGAACACACGTCCGCATGCTCAATCAACTGGAGAATATCGCGTTACCTTGCAGAACTCGGGCCCAGTACGTGCCTGACCACGCAGCCGAGAGGATCTTCTTCGTAGCTTCGACAATAACCGTTCGAAGGAATCGTCCGTGAATTCCCACTCCAACATGCCCAACTGCCCGAAGTGTGATAAGCCCGTTTATTTCGGTAAGTGAGACTCCGTTTCCGGTCGGCTTATCAGAGAAAGATTCTGTGTGAGAGATTTCATGGTCAAGTATCGTTACTGCAGTATCGGGCCCAGTGGTTTTTTGGTCTTTTGGTTCTCAAAGAGGGTTTTCGCATTGTGCGCAGTGTGATAAACGCGAACGATTAGTAAATGATTGCTCTATGCTACCGGCATTATGTTTTACGGGTGATTCGCTTTTAAAAATTTGTGTTCCGATCTTGTCGCATAAAAGCGTCTTCAGAAAGTATGCGCTTCGTGTTTCGATTTTATGAATTACGTTTAAGAAGATTTCTAGAGTGCGACAATGTACTTTCATATACTGTAAGATAGAAGAACGCATTGATTTTTAATTAGGTTATCATATGACTTTATTGGTGTAATTGCTCATAGGGGTAACTAATGCGGAAAGTTTACCGTTGACAATGTTTCCTGTATTCCATTCGAAATGGCTAAGAATTCGTTTGACAACGCGGTTTTGACCTCTTCCATTTTTTCTAGCTACCTTCTTCATTGCTCGATATGTGTAAACAGCCACGTCATTCATGTATTCATACATTCACGGTGATTTTATGAATTCAACAAGGACTAAACACTTGAGAAACCTGTACAATTCAAGGGAAATGATAAATGAATTGTAAACGAATATATGTATGGATCGTTTACGAAAAAAACAAAAATCTCAAAATCTAGTTGTTGGGCTGTAAATGGTCATTTTTCCGTTTCGTTTCGTACAAATTGGGCAACAGACACAAAAATTCGTCATTGTAAATATTGACGTTTGTCATACTGTTTGTGGGCGAAAGGTATGCTATACACCAGAGTCCATACAATGTACTAGGTATATGCAATCATTCGAGCGGAGATGCAGTAGCATAGACGTTTTATCTTGGATTTAATACTGCTATCATAAGTCTGCGGTAGAATTAATATTAATTACGCAGAAAAGTATAGAGCAACGCAAGATGACGTGTTAGACTTTCGATATAAAAATCAATAATATATGTTCCATAGCATTAGACTTATATGAAATACATATCTTAGATTTAAAAACATCCCTAATTTTTTGAGAACGGCGACTTATATTATTTTAGCCAAAATTCTACTTATACTATTTTTGTTCTGCTCCGAAAGATTCAGCAACGAAAATTTGAGTGAGCATAAACAGTTTAGTAATTAGATTTCTCAACAAATTTACAAATCGTTAAATTTAGCAACGATGCTTGATCGAGATAACGAATCTCATACTGGATTAAGATAACAAAAAATGTACGAAGCTAGGCGTCATTTCCGTTTTGGTCTGGGTTAGCCCATCGACGATGATGCACAATTTCGCGTATTCTGTCAGAGAAAATCGTGTCACGACAATACCCGTGTACTCTGTCACACTACCGGCGAGATCTCGAATGACGACACTAATGATGTCATTGCGCGTCCTCGTGGTCCACCTTGACAAACATTATATCAGGCTCGGCTCACTGTATACAAGAGGCGATGTGATATAAGTAGTGAGTAATACGAGTTACTAGGAAGGAAATTTTATACATCGTTGGCGTGCATCTGTATGCACACAGTGCACGTGATCTGCATATATTCTAATTGAGATCGTACAGCTACAATTCCGATACTACGGAATATTTGCCAAATCACTATTGCCGGTCAAAAACTTGCCAGCTTTGTAAATTACTGGTACTGTTTTAGTATGCACAACAATACTGATTATAATAATAATCAGTCGCGATTGCTGTCACGGTCGAGTAAGTGATATGCAAGAGTCGGTAGAATCGGGACACGATATATGGTAAACTATGGACTATAAAGATTAGTAGACTCGGCGATTCCAATAGTGGACTGGTTGAGACACATTTTTCATTATCATATGAATTGTCACAAGGACGTTTGCGGTCTTGCTTTGGTCTGCCACGAAGAAGAAATTTTCGTTTTCTTGAAAGTAGGAGAAGCTTCTGGTTAAAGTAATTGGAATAGACTCAATGTAGAATTGAGTTCTTAAAAATCATAATGTGCCTTTTCTTCGTCATTTATCTTGCCTTCGATTTCTTGAATCCATAAAGATCCGCAGCCAATAATCTTAGCCATAATCTGTACGTACACTTGCTTTGCTATAAACTACGCTCACTGTCCACGTGCAAGGATATGTCCACAGAATTTTCTCTAATAGTAAGATATTCGATTATTCACGAATACATTCAGCTGTATGATTTTTTCGTGCTTCATGGTAGTCATAATTATGCAGATATGTACCTAATATGCGTTGTAGATTATCAACTCGAAAGAGAAACTTACAATGTTATTGCGCACCGGTCACTGAATAACACAACGCAAAAATGTAAAACAATGTTAAAACACTTATGAATATTATTATTACTAACTTCAGTCTTCACTATAAAGAAACCTTTAGTAATCTTGATTACCTTTTACGTAATCCGGTGTTACCATGCTGGAAAAGAGCCTCTTTATATTCCAACGTATTTTAACATGCATTTGATTCTACATTCCTTTCTCAAGCTATTCAGAGGTGCCGCGGACACACAAGTACTATTATTAATCTGAATTACATGTGTGAAATTACATGTATAAAAATACTAGACTGTAAAGAATACCTTTGCAATTGAAGTCGTCAAATGATTTCTAGTGTTCGGTCCCTTTCAATTTCACGCTATTTAGCCTTCAAACTGAAACGATGGAAATTTCGAATTTAGTTAACAAATCCACGATGCGAGTAAGCAACGCAGACATAAACTATACATATAGCAAATTATTAAACTTTTATTATTAACTTTATGCTAATCTATGAAATTAGCAACTGCATGACGTAAGCTTGCGCGATGATGATGCAACTCGATAAACGCGATTTTCGAATTATGTATTAGTATGAGAGTGCTCCATAGACACTCATCGATCAATTATGAAAACTATCTCCGACCGGTAAACACCAATTATATTACTCCTCTTGATTCATGCGACACTATGCTGGGTCTTATAAATACCTCTAATTATGAGTTATGTCTAATCACCTGACTATCTTCGTGAACAAGACTCTTGAATCTGTTCTATTAGCGTTGCTCTTTTTGTCCATAAATTTCGTTAACAAAATAACGATTAACCACGTTCCAATACATTTTATACAACTGTCGTGATTATGATTATGATTTATCATAAAGCGAACAATTATTATATATCGTCAGGTTCTGTAAAGATTGTTCAATGAAGAAAGTATATGCAGTGAACATGAACATTTATGTGTATCCTAATAATGCCGATGGTCATGAACTCGAAGAATTTCATCATTTATATAAAAATCTATGAAAACATCTCTTACGATTGAATTTACACAAGTCTTTCGATTCTTCGTCCAAAATATCAGATAAGATTAAAGAAAAGTGCTGTAATTGCCGTGCTAATTAAATTCTTTATCAAGAAATGTTAATCTCGCAATTGATTTAAAACAGATCTTATCTAAAATACATGGCGATTCGTATCTTTCTGATCCTATACAAGAGATGTACTTTATTTGAATCGCCTATAACTTAACATTATTAATTGTTCATTACGTTCTTTCAAACGTCACGTTTCTAAACGGACGTTTTTAACACAGCACATCGTTTCTGCGCATAAAAAGCGTACATTGCGTTAATGTGCTACTTCTGTGGAGGATATTACATTCAAAAACCGGGCGTAGAAATGTTCTTTTGGTCGGCTGCAGCTCCGCCAACAGTTTCAGTAAGCACGTCTATTCTAAAACAATAGAGTGTATTCCTACTCCTCCCTCTTATCGTCGCTCCGATCGTTTATCGCAGCTCCAACAAATAAACGTACCCTAACGCATGTCCCGCTGCCGGATTAAACGCGAGCCGCGCTTCCGTAGAGCCGTTTAGAGGTCAGTGACCTTTCTCTTTGAGACTTTTTTCCGCAATACAAGAAAAAGAGTGTCGTCCCTCTAATTCGCCACCCCCTTTCCTCCCACCACGGCTCGGCATCCATTTCTCGCACGCCTACTTGCGCCGATCTGAAAGCTTCGTATACGCAAGCCGGCTAGTGTCAGCGTGACGAACGCGCGCGCGGGAAGAGCATGAGCATGAGCACGAGCACGAGCACGGGCACTGGCACGGGCACGGGCACGGGCATGGCAGCACATTCAGAAAAATCCGCTTTCAGCACTAATAGTGCTTTAACGGCCGTCTAAAAGGCTGCTCGAAAGAGGAAGCGTGCAATTAAAAGCGAACCTCTCTTAATACGAAGCTTCCACTCGTGCGCCGAAGGGAAACGCGGTATAGTCGATGCTCCCAGGCCTCGTTCATCCGTCTCTACTTTCGACGGGAACCAGCGATGCACAATTCGCAGCTAAGATTATTGCGACAGTTCGCTGGACATGTTCGGTTCGTGCAGTGTCTGCACTCCCAGCCAAAAAAAGATGGAAATGTTGCACCAACATTCCACGAGCGATTATAAAGATTTCGTAATTTAACCCTCTATGGGCCCATGTAACTTTCAAGTCACAAGCTAATATATCCAGATTTTACCAAATAGTTTTAGTTTCTTTCACAAGATGATGTATACGTCTTAATTATATAATGCTTCTGAAAAAACCGATAACAATATTGATGACGGTTTGCTGCACCATCAACCTTGACCATCTTGTGCAATTGGGATTATTTGTGCTCTTGTCGGTGTTTACTAAATAAAAGAAAGCGTATATAATAGCTCTGAGTTCGTATATCAATAACAATTTATTTATTTGCTTTTCAATAATCATTTTGTTACTATTTGTATATGATACAGTTTTGTAACTTTCAGGTTACATTGGGAAATTGTGGTAGATTCGAGTGTATTTAGAATAATAGTTGTGCTTTTTTCTATTTTCAAATTTATATATCAAATATCCAAAATATGGATACAAAATCATCTAAAAATAAAAGAGGAGTTAGAATTAGACGCATTAGCGGTAACAGATCCGAAGATTCTT